ATGGCAGAATCATTTTTGGCAGTCGAGGTGCTGGCCTCCATGTTATCGTTACCGTCGTCACTTCCGATATCATATTGACCTACGCTTAAGCGATCATCCTCCTCTTCCTCCTCGTCCTCACAGTCATTATCAACGCAGGGAAGTTGCTCATTTTCGGCCAGAGGTTCAATCTCGATGCTTTCATCGATCAATTGTTGTTTGGTCAAGAAGACACGTGAGACAAGCCAATGATGCAATCCCAAATCACCGAAACCCAAGCATGAAAGATCCAACGGTAGCGGAATCTTGGAACCGTCAATAACGATAGGATCTTTAATGCGCGATGTGGATGGTGATCCTTTTCGTCCAGAACCTCGTTCCTCTCCTTCATCTGAGGCATGATTTCCCTGACATCTCTCCAGGAGCGTGAAAATAGATTCCAATTTAAGTGCACCTGGCTGGGAAAGTATGACTTCATTAGAATCTCCCGACTTTCCACTGGAGTATGATTGATTGATCGTCTTGATTTCTTCGTAATGAGGTTGCATCCATGGGATGACAATCATTCCTGGACCGATGTCTCGAAAATCTGACATTTTTTGGACGAGCGCATCCTTGTATACCTTGTAATCATTATCCTTTTTAACAAACGACGACAGTTCTTTCAGATTCTGACTCATGCGATGTGGAAGGTTGAGCCATAATCGTCTTATCCTACGTACTTCAGGTGAAGTAAGGGCTTTCACCAAAGCTGTAAAACTATTGAAATTGCGATGAACGTTTAACAAGAGGTAGGCTACTCTGATAGCTTGCACAATTATATTCTCCCTGGCGTGCGAATTGCTACGCGATTGATTTTCCAAGGGTCGAGATGTATCGGCATAAATAATAAACTGATGGGTGAAACTGTTTGTCAGGTATCGATGAAAATCCAAGCATGCTTGTGCCTTTGAATTTTTTCGATCCTTGGACAGCATGTCCTTTCGGAATTCCACTTTACTATACAATTGACTGTCAATTATGGTCAATTGTTGTGCTACTGCGTTAAAATCCCAGTGCAAAAGCGTAACTTCACAAATGGATTGAATCTGATTGTTAACCATATCAAGTCTAGTCCTCTGTTGACGAAGCTCCTCGTTCAGCTTACGAATAGAGGCAAGGCTATCACCGTTATTCTCACTTTTTTGGGTTGCGACTGATACCTTTTGGGAGATGGTGGCAAGTTCGTGGGCGTAGGATATCGCTTGTCGAGTGAGCGGAGAGAAAGGAATCAGGGGCAAATGCGTAGGGTGGGGGTTGTTTGTTAGGATTGAAGTGGCAATGTCCGAGGTAATAGAAAGTTTTGGTGAAGGCATGCCGTTTGTCGCTCTATTCTGAAGGATCTCTTCAAGTCTTTGCACACAAGACTTGAGCTGTTGAAACAAACGGGCGCTGTTGTTTGGCTTAGATTTCACGGCATCTAAAAATCGAAAGGTTGTGGACACTCTACGGATAATCCCCTGTCCATCTACAAGGGAAGGGAAAACAGAGGAAAAAAAGGTTCGCTCATACCTTTATTAGCAAACGTTACTTCATGACTAAGTTTGTAGAGTAACGCGTTAGCTGCCCTCAAATAGTTATTGTAAGATTCCTGAGCATGGAAAAAAAGACGATCCCTTTTTTTAGTCAAAAGATTGAACAAATGGAATAACACAAAAAGCTGTTTAGCACCTTGAAGTTTCCATTATTGTAGTCGCCTGCCGCCTTGTGATACAGACTTTCCCAACCGCTCATGATTTCGTG